AGTTTGTGCAAACTGCTGCTGCTCGTCTGCTCACGAACAGAAACACGACCACATAAGTTCTGTTCTTGTTCTTGTCTCTCTGGCTCCTGTTCAGTTCAGAATTCATTTTAAAATTCTGATGTTTGTTTTTAATACACTCAATGTTCTCGCACCTTCATATTTGTGTGAGATTTTGAGCCCTCACCACCAAGCAGAGCTCAACACCTGCTGGACGTCCCCCTTTCTGCTTTATTTCCACACTCGTTCACACTGTAGGTTGTGTGAACAGGAGCTGATGTTTCTTCTCTGGATTAGAACATGACACAACCCGTTTATCCAGAACTTTCTACTGTTGTTCTCCTCCTCCTCATCATCATCTCCTTTTTCTCTTTTTTCTCTCTCCTCCTCCTCCTCCTCTTCTTCTCTCTCTCTCTGTGACGCAGCAGAGGTTGGATATAAGTCTCTCTCTGCCCCCATCTGTGCTCTCACTCTGATTTACTGTACGACTACTGTTACTACTACTACTACTACTACAAAACTACTACAAAACTACTACAAAACTACTACAAATCCTGCTCCTGTTCCTGGTCCCGCTCCCGGTCCTGGTCTTGGTCCTGCTCCCGCTCCTGCATCGTGTCCCTCCTGCTGCTGCTCTGAGCTTCGGCGCGATGCCTTTGAGCCGCTGGTCCCTCTTCACGTGCACGCTCCTGGCTCTGCTCGTGCACGTGGGTCTCGGTCTGGACTCCGACCTGGACCTGGATCCTGAACCGGAGTCCGGACTCTGGCCCCGGGCCCTGAAGGGACTCTCCAAGAACCCCAAGCTGACGGCCCAGAGGCAGCTGGTGAGTGCACGTGAGAGTGTGCACGTGAGAGAGGGGCGTGCACGTGAGAGAGGGGCGTGCACGTGAGAGGGGCGTGCACGTGACGTGAGAGGGGCGGCGTGCACGTGCGTGAGAGAGGGGCGTGCGTGACGAGAGGGGCGTGCACGTGAGAGGGGCGTGCACGTGAGTGAGGGGCGTGCACGTGAGAGAGGGGCGTGCACGTGAGAGGGGCGTGCACGTGAGTGAGGGGCGTGCACGTGAGTGGGGCGTGCACGTGAGTGAGGGGCGTGCACGTGAGAGAGGGACGTGCACATGAGAGGGGCGTGCACGTGTGAGTGGGGCGTGCACGTGAGTGATGGTTTCAGTCCTGGCGTCGTTGATCTCGACTGAACTAAAGGAAAAAGGAGCTGAGAACTTGATGACATCACAAGGTGGAACAGAGCGTTTGGAGATTTGGAAATGTAACAAACAGAATAAAGAAAAACACAAGTCCAGCTCTGAGTGTGACCAGGAACAGTAGAACAGTAGAACAGCAGAACATTAGAACAGTAGAACATTAGAACAGTAGAACAGTAGAACATTAGAACAGTAGAACAGTAGAACAGTAGAACAGTAGAACAGTAGAACAGTAGAACAGTAGAACAGTAGAACATAGAACAGTAGAACAGTAGAACAGTAGAACAGTAGAACAGTAGAACAGTAGAACATTAGAACAGTAGAACAGTAGAACATTAGAACATTAAAACAGTAGAACATCAGAACATTAGAACAGTAGAACCTGGATTAAAGTTCAGAGTTTGTGTGAATCTGATTATTTGGATTAACTGAGAAAAATTCAGAGCGCTGTCTGTATGAACTCTGAGCTGTGTGTTGTGTGTAATGTTGTGTTGTGTGTAATGTTGTGTTGTGTGTGTTGTGTGTAATGTTGTGTTGTGTGTAATGTTGTGTTGTGTGTAATGTTGTGTTGTGTGTAATGTTGTGTTGTGTTGTGTGTGTAGTTGGGGGAGCTGCAGGAGGTTCTGGAGAAGCTTCAGGCCAAACGTTTACCGCACTGGGAGAAGAAATATGGACAAGTGCCCACGGTGAGACCCCGCCCCCTACAGACAGACCCCGCCCCCTACAGACAGACCCCCTACAGACCGACCCCGCCCCCTACAGACAGACCCCGCCCCTACAGACAGACCCCGCCCCCTACAGACAGACCCCCTGACCACTGACTGTTGTTGTGTATATTTGTATATTTTCATATGCATGTGTGTGTGTGTTTGTGTGTGTTCACATGTGTGTGTGTTTGTATGTGTTCACATGTGTGTGTGTTTGTGTGTGTTCACATGTGTGTGTGTTTGTGTGTGTTCATGTGTGTGTTGATGTGTATTCATGTGTGTGTGTGCGTTTGTGTGTGTTCACATGTGTGTGTGCGTTTGTGTGCGTTCACATGTGTGTGTGTTTGTGTGCGTTCACATGTGTGCGTTTGTGTGCGTTCACATGTGTGCGTTTGTGTGCGTTCACATGTTCGCGTTTGTGTGTGTTCACATGTGTGCGTTCACATGTGTGTGTGTGTGCGTTCACATGTGTGCGTGTTTGTGTGCGTTCACATGTGTGCGTTTGTGTGCGTTCACAAGTGTGTGTGTGCGTTCACATGTGTGTGTTTGTGTGCGTTCACATGTGTGTGTGTGCGTTCACATGTGTGTGTGTGCGTTCACATGTGTGTGTGTGCGTTCACATGTGTGCGTTTGTGTGCGTTCACATGTGTGCGTTTGTGTGCGTTCACATGTGTGCGTTTGTGTGCGTTCACATGTGTGTGCGTTTGTGTGCGTTCACATGTGTGCGTTTGTGTGCGTTCACATGTGTGCGTTTGTGTGCGTTCACATGTGTGTGTGTGTGCGTTCACATGTGTGTGTGTGTGTGTGTGCGTTCACATGTGTGTGTGTTTGTGTGCGTTCACATGTGTGTGTGTTTGTGTGCGTTCACATGTGTGTGTGTTTTGTGTGCGTTCACATGTGTGTGTGTTTGTGTGCGTTCACATGTGTGTGTGTTTGTGTGCGTTCACATGTGTGTGTGTTTGTGTGCGTTCACATGTGTGTGTGTGTTTGTGTGCGTTCACATGTGTGTGTGTTTGTGTGCGTTCACATGTGTGTGTGTTTGTGTGCGTTCACATGTGTGTGTTTGTGTGCGTTCACATGTGCGTTTGTGTGCGTTCACATGTGTGCGTTTGTGTGCGTTCACATGTGTGCGTTTGTGTGCGTTCACATGTGTGTGTTTGTGTGCGTTCGCATGCGTGTGTGTTTGTGTGCGTTCACATGTGTGTGTTTGTGTGCGTTCACATGTGTGTGTTTGTGTGCGTTCACATGTGTGTGTTTGTGTGCGTTCACATGTGTGTGTTTGTGTGCGTTCACATGTGTGTGTGTTTGTGTGCGTTCGCATGCGTGTGTGTTTGTGTGCATTCACATGTGTGTGTTTGTGTGCGTTCACATGTGTGTGTTTGTGTGCGTTCACATGTGTGTGTTTGTGTGCGTTCACATGTGCGTGCGTGTGTGTGCGTTCACATGTGCGTGCGTGTGCGTTCACGTGTGTGTGTGTGCGTTCACGTGTGTGTGCGCGTTCACATGTGTGTGCGCGTTCACATGTGTGTTTGTGTGCGTTCACATGTGTGTGTGTTTGTGTGCGTTCACATGTGTGTGTTTGTGTGCGTTCACATGTGTGTGTTTGTGTGCGTTCACATGTGTGTGTGTTTGTGTGCGTTCACATGTGTGTGTGTGTGTGTGCGTTCACAATGTGTGTGTTTGTGTGCGTTCACATGTGTGTGTTTGTGTGCGTTCACATGTGTGTGTGTGTGTGTGTGTGTGCGTTCACATGTGTGTGTGTGTGTGTGTGTGCGTTCACATGTGTGTGTGTGTTTGTGTGCGTTCACATGTGTGTGTGTGTTGTGCGTTCACATGTGTGTGTGTGTTTGTGCGTTCACATGTGTGTGTTTGTGTGCGTTCACATGTGTTTTGTGCGTTCACATGTGTGTGTTTGTGTGCGTTCACATGTGTGTGTTTGTGTGTTCACGTGTGTGTTCACATGTGTGTGTGTTGTGTGCGTTCACATGTGTGTGTGTGTGTGCGTTCACATGTGTGTGTTTGTGTGCGTTCACATGTGTGTGTTTGTGTGCGTTCACATGTGTGTGTTTGTGTGCGTTCACATGTGTGTGTTTTGTGTGCGTTCACATGTGTGTGTGTTTGTGTGCGTTCACATGTGTGTGTGTTTGTGTGCGTTCACATGTGTGTGTGTGTGTTTGTGTGCGTTCACATGTGTGTGTTTGTGTGCGTTCACATGTGTGTGTGTTTGTGTGCGTTCACATGTGTGTGTGTTTGTGTGCGTTCACATGTGTGTGTGTTTGTGTGCGTTCACATGTGTGTGTGTGTGTTTGTGTGCGTTCACATGTGTGTTTGTGTGCGTTCACATGTGTGTTTGTGTGCGTTCACATGTGTGTGTGTTTGTGTGCGTTCACATGTGTGTGTTTGTGTGCGTTCACATGTGTGTGTTTGTGTGCGTTCACATGTGTGTGTGTGTTTGTGTGCGTTCACATGTGTGTGTTTGTGTGCGTTCACATGTGTGTGTTTGTGTGCGTTCACATGTGTGTGTTTGTGTGTGTGTTTGTGTGCGTTCACATGTGTGTGTTTGTGTGCGTTCACATGTGTGTGTTTGTGTGCGTTCACATGTGTGTGTTTGTGTGCGTTCACATGTGTGTGTTTGTGTGCGTTCACATGTGTGTGTTTGTGTGCGTTCACAGTGTGACCTGGGCGAGTCGTGTGCGGTGAGGAAAGGCGCTCGTATCGGGAAACTGTGTGACTGTCCACAGGGGGCGCTCTGCAACTTCATCCTGCTCAAGTGTCTGTAACCACGGCAACCGCGGACCTCACAACTGTAACCACGAAAACGGGACAACAACATCACTACAGCAGCACAACAGTCACATGGATGATTACAGAACCAGGTTCAGACCAGGTTCAGACCAGGTTCAGACCAGGTTCAGACCAGGTTCAGACCAGGTTTAGTCCAGGTTTAAACTCCATGTAGGACTGAGTGAAACACTGAAACTGCAGCAGCCGTCACTCCAAACCTGAGTGTTTGTGTGCGTGTGTGTTTGTGTGTGTGTGTGTTTGTGTGTCTGTGTGCGTGTGTGTTTGTGTGCGTGTGTGTGTGTTTGTGTCTGTGTGCGTGTGTGTGCGTGTGTGTGTGTGCGTAATGTGACCAAACGTTGGGTCTTAATCCGTTTTCCTGAATCTGTCCCTAAATGTCCCGACAACGACTCTTTATTTGTTTAATAAGTGTTAATCTGATAAAAATGTAAAATAAAAATGTTATTTTGTATGTTCAGAGAGATGTGTGTTATTTCACATGTTCAGTATCACTCACACACACACACACACACACACACACACACAGTGTTCTGTGTGTGACACAGATGTGTTTGATTAAATAAAAATTGTGCTGAGTTTAGCTTTTAGAAACATTTGTTTTGAAACTCTTTGGGTTTAGTCGTTAAAGATGATGTCAGAAAAACTCACGTGAAGATTCATCAGGTCAGATGGAGCATGTGTGTCCACACCTCAGGAGTCGTCCTCGTCGTCCACACCTCAGGAGGAGCTGTGGTCTCCCTGTCACTGCCGTGTGTCCTGTGGTCGTCTCGGGACATAAACCTGGTGTTCTGTGGTTGAGGTGTGACGTGGGAGAGACATTCGGCCGGTGAGGAGACACCTGGTCCACATCTGCTGGAAAAACAATAAACCTTTGACTGTTTTCAAAAAACTCATCAGGATTTAAAAATGGATTCATCATTTATCAAGAGAAAATGTAAAAGATGAATTAAACTGTAGGAAAATATTAAGATTAAAACGTCTTTTACAGAGTGCACATGGTCCGGGTTTAGTCCGGGTTTAGTCTTGAATCAGATCAAGAAATTTAATTTTTCATAGAAACAAGACAGTAGGGACGGAGCAGAGCAGAGGACAGAGGACAGAGGACAGAGGACAGAGGACAGAGGACAGGGACAGGGGACGGAGCTTTACACAAACACATGAAACAACTAAATGTAAAAATCATGTGAAAGTGAAAACCGTGGAGCACTGAAGCAGAAGAGAGCGGACGTGTGCTCAGTGATCTGCTCCCGTCACCATGACAACCAGCTCATAACACAGGTGAAGTGTCCCTGTCACACACACAGGTGAAGTGTCCCTGTCACACACACACAGGTGAAGTGTCCCTGTCACACACACACACAGGTGAAGTGTCCCTGTCACACACACACACAGGTGAAGTGTCCCTGTCACACACACACACAGGTGAAGTGTCCCTGTCACACACACACAGGTGAAGTGTCCCTGTCACACACACACAGGTGAAGTGTCCCTGTCACACACACACAGGTGAAGTGTCCCTGTCACACACACAGGTGAAGTGTCCCTGTCACACACAGACAGGTGAAGTGTGAGATGGAGATAAATGTTTTGAGCTCATTCAATTTTAGAGACAAGTTTAATTATAAATATTCTGAACGTCAATTCTTAAAGAAAATTCTAACTACACCAGAGTCTGGGGGGGGGGGGGGGGGGGTCACGTGAATGTGGCTGTGACTCACTGGAGGAGGGACAGTACTGATACTTCTGAAGTACTTTTACTCTCAGTGCTGACACTAAAGTAGTGCACGCACACTGCCCCCCACTGGACACAAGAGGTCATTACACATTTGAACAAACTGAACTCTGAACACATCGTCCCACAGTTTGAGAAACAAAGTATTTTTAAAATCAGACAGAAAAACCACAGACAGTGAGAGCATTTTAGTTTTGCTTTATTAAAAGTGTTTAGTCTTGTTGCAGCTGCAGAGGTTCAGGTCTCCTGACACGGGCACCAGCACATCTTCTGTGTGGTGCTCGTTCTCGTGGTGCTGCTGCCGCCTGCGCCGCCTGTGCCGCCCTGCAGACACAAAACATGAAATCCTCAGTTCTGTTTTTCCAAATGAACTCACTGAGCACAAAAATGCCATTTTCAAAAGGCAGTTTTTCCTTCTGTACAGAAGTCAAGTTTAGATTTACAAATTCTCAGACCTGCCAAAGTTATGATGAAATTTCAATTTGAGAAAAACCACATCTCCTTTTTGAAAGTTTAATGTTGCACCACAAACACTGAAGCAACTTCCTGATTTAAATCCTGTTAAAGTTCACGTCTGACGTTCAGAGCTGCACTTGGTTCGGTGTTGTACTCACAGAGGAGCAGTCCGGGGTCTGGGTCAGGTTTCCCGAAGGGTCGAGGGTCACACACGAGGCCCGGGTGGTGCCACAGGCGGCGGTCGAGGTGATGGCGGTCGAGGTGGAGTCAGACCTGAACGAGACAAATGACCTGAGCTGAAGTTCTAATGGAGTCTCCGAGTTCACATGTTTAACACAAATCCAAACTGAAAACTGTTCCACCTTGTGATGTCATCATGTGGTGTTTTTAAACTCCACACACCTTCACTAGAATCATTTCAGTTCAGGAGTTTCTCCACTGAACTAAAGGGAAAAGGAGCCCAGAACTTCATGACATCACAAAGTGGAGCAGAGTGTTTGGTGACCAGGAACAACATGACTTCAAGTTCACAAGAGTCAATTGTGTAACAGCTCTGACCTGGTGGTTCCTGTGGTTGTAGAAGTGGTGGAGTGACCGGCGTCACCGGCGTCTCCGCCGTGACTCCGCCGTCTCCGCCGTCTCCGCCGTGACCGCCGTGACCGCCGTCTCCGCCGTCTCCGCCGCCGCCGTCTCCGCCGTGACCGCCGTGACCGCCGTGACCGCCGTCACCGCGTGACCGCCGTCGTCACCGCCGTGACCGCCGTCCGCCGTCTCCGCCGTCACCGCCGTCACCTCCGTCACCGCCGTCACCGCCGTCCGTCACCGCCGTCACCGCCGTCCGTCACCGCCGTCACCGCCGTCACCGCCGTCACCGCCGTCACCTCCGTCTCCGCCGTGACCGCCGTCACCTCCGTCTCCGCCGTCACCGCCGTCACCTCCGTCACCGCCGTGACCGCCGTCACCTCCGTCTCCGCCGTGACCGCCGTCACCTCCGTCTCCGCCGTGACCGCCGTCACCTCCGTCTCCGCCGTGACCGCCGTCACCTCCGTCTCCGCCGTGACCGCCGTCACCTCCGTCTCCGCCGTCTCCTCCGTCTCCGCCGTCACTCCGTCTCCTCCGTCACCTCCGTCACCTCCGTCACCTCCGTCACCTCCGGTGGTGGAGGTTCCTGTGGTTGTAGAAGTGGTGGAGTGACCGCCGTCTCCGCCGGTGGTTGTAGAAGTGGTGGAGCTACCGCCGTCACCGCCAGTGTCACCCGTCTGCGCTGCAGTGAGTGTGATCGGGGCACAGGGTGCACCTGACGGGCGGGTGGTCGTGGTGGAGGCACATGGCGGCAGAGTGGTCTTCACAGTCGATGTTTCAGGACTGGAGACTCTGGTGATTTGAACGGAGCCTGTGGTAAAAGAATCAGAATCAGTTTTGGTGTCTGAACTGAAATCAAGGGAAGCAGCGACCTGATCTCCAAGTGAATATTCAGTCCAGGATCTGTTCAGTCAGTCCAGTTTGACACACTGATCTTTTAGTCTTTCAAACTAAAGACATTTGGATCAGGCAAGTCTTATTTTCATTTAAACCAAACACCTTTATATCGTAGTCAAAATCAGAATCCAAATTGAAAAAGCTGGATCTGAATCAAACAGGAAAGTGGCGGCGTTTTTTTTGTGCAACAGTACGAGAAGAGCGACCATTGAAGGGTCAACTGAAATACAGTGAAGTCTAAAGGCCTAGTCATACTTCATAAGACCAAGAAACAGTTGGTTTTTATCTGCGTCCTCGTCGGTGCGGAGCAAGAAACAAAATTTTTTTGAGTCAGTTGAGGAAATGAGAAAATAAACGATGCCAAATGGAGATTGCTGATATTTTAGGCTCAGATGAAAATGTAGGAAACCAAAACATAAGTCAGGCTGGAGGACAAGTATTCCCCTCGATATAAACCTCCTGCAGCAGCTCGACTAAACACAGAAACATCACCAACATGACTCCTGTTCAAGTCAAACGAAACAAAGATTCATACTGAGCCAGGGGGCGAGGGGGCGGGACTCTTATCACCAAGAACATTTTTGTTTTGAAGTATGAAATGTCAAAGTTCATATGAATAGGCCTTAAGAGGAAAGTTTCTATAGATTTTACCTTCAGGAGATTTAGTGGAGCTTTCAGATGATCCTTCAACTGTGGAGATTATCGTAGTGGAGGATGTTGTGTTTGATGCACCTCCAGAGCCGTGATGGTGGTGATGGTGATGATGGTAGTGGTAGTGGTGGTGGTGGTGATGATGACCCTGTCCGTGTGGGTCGTCATGATAGTGTACATGTCCCCCGTGATGATGCCCTCCATGTCCGTGATGATAATGTCCACTGGTAGGTTCAGAGACAGAAGTTACTCCAGATGCTGTTGGAGTCTCAGTGGAGATGGGTCCAGAAGAGGTCGTCGTCTCAGTTGAACTGGAGAGATGTGAAGTCGTCGTCTGTGGGCACGGGGTGGTGGAGTCTGTTGGAGGGGTTTGGGATGCTGTAACATTTGGAAGTCCAGAAACAGAAGTCACAGTGGAGTCCTGTCCTGAAGAGCTCGTTGGATCATAAGGTGTAATGGGCCTTGTGTCAGGTGTAGGGTGTCCATGATGATGTCCTCCGTGTCCATGATGATGATGGTGATGATCTCCGTGTCCATGATGGTGGTGGTGGTGGTGGTGATGATCTCCATGTCCGTGATGGTGGTGATGTCCTCCGTGTCCATGATATCCAGTGGCAGGTTCAGATGTTGCTTCTGATTTTCCTGGGGGAGAAATAAAATACTCACTTTACACAGCAAAACTAAATTTTCCAGCAGTTTGTTGCAGTCAAAGTCAAACTAAGATTTCCTGGACCTGATTAACCATTTTTATGTTCTAGAAAAACTAGATCTGATGTGACCAGACAGATGAGAATTTTTAAAAAGTTTTCCAACACTCAAATTCAGTGGCTGCAGTTACATCTTATGACGCCTGTTTAAATATGAAGTGAAAACCTCAATGTTTCTAAAACACATTACCGTTATTGGAGGTTGAACTGGACACACTGGTGGTGTCTGGAGCAACAGTCAAGAAATCGTTGGTGGTGGGATCAAAGGGGCCAGATGTTTCTGGAGGTTGGGTGGAGATGGTGGAGGAAGGTGGCTCAGATTGGTGGTGATGATGTCCATGTCCTCCATGATGATGTCCTCCGTGTGGTCCATCATAGTGTCCGTGCCCTCCATGTCCACCATGTCCGTGATGGTGCCCATGATGGTGTCCATGTCCATGATGATATCCACTGGTAGGTTCAGAGACAGAAGTTACTCCAGATGCTGTTGGAGTCTCAGTGGAGATGGGTCCAGAAGAGGTCGTCGTCTCAGTTGAACTGGAGAGATGTGAAGTCGTCGTCTGTGGGCACGGGGTGGTGGAGTCTGTTGGAGGGGTTTGGGATGCTGTAACATTTGGAAGTCCAGAAACAGAAGTCACAGTGGAGTCCTGTCCTGAAGAGCTCGTTGGATCATAAGGTGTAATGGGCCTTGTGTCAGGTGTAGGGTGTCCATGATGATGATGGTGATGATCTCCATGTCCATGATGGTGATGTCCTCCGTGTCCATGATGATGGTGGTGGTGGTGATGATCTCCATGTCCGTGATGATGGTGGTGGTGGTGGTGGTGATGATCTCCATGTCCGTGATGGTGATGATGTCCTCCGTGTCCATGATATCCAGTGGCAGGTTCAGATGTTGCTTCTGATTTTCCTGGGGGAGAAATAAAACACTTTACACAGCAAAACTAAATTTTCCAGCAGTTTGTTGCAGTCAAAGTCAAACTAAGATTTCCTGGACCTGATTAACCATTTTTATGTTCTAGAAAAACTAGATCTGATGTGACCAGACAGATGAGAATAGAAAAAGTTTTCCAACACTCAAATTCAGTGGCTGCAGTTACATCTTATGACGCCTGTTTAAACATGAGGTTTTTACTTCAACGTTTCTAAAACACATTACCGTTATTGGAGGTTGAACTGGACACACTGGTGGTGTCTGGAGCAACAGTCAAGAAATCGGTGGTGGGATCAAAGGGAACAGATGTTGCTGGAGGTTGGGTGGAGATGGTGGAGGAAGGTGGCTCAGATTGGTGGTGATGATGTCCATGTCCTCCATGATGATGTCCTCCGTGTGGTCCATCATAGTGTCCATGTCCTCCACCATGTCCTCCATGTCCATGATGATGTCCACCATGTCCGTGATCTCCAGCATGTCCGTGATCTCCAGTGATAGCTTCAGAGACAGAAGTTGCTCCAGATGCTGTTGGAATCTCAGTGGCACCATTTCCTGAAGAGTTCGTTGGATCGTAAGGTGTACTGGGTCTAGTGTCAGGTGTAGGTTCTACATGATCGTGTCCGTGTCCGGTGGTAGTTTCAGAGACAGAAGAGGCAGATGTTGTTGGAGTCTCGGTGGAGATGGAGGTCATGGTCTCGTAGTGGGGCACTGGAGCGACTGTGGTAGTTTGGACCTGACACAGAGGAAGAGTCGTGGTGGATTTAGTGAGGGGGATTGTGAGACACGGCACGAGAATTGGGGGCTGGGTCGGGCCACAATAACATGGTCTGCTGGTCGTGGTGGAAACTTGGGAACACGGGCACATGGCGACAGAGGGACGTGAGGGGGGGGTGGGTGAGGAAGCCTTCCTTAAGATCCACAAGAAAACATTTGCAGTGTCGGAGGTGGTGTATGTGGACTTCACAAGGGGCAGGGTGGTGGTGGTGCTGGGGTCCACAGGGGTGAGTCCATGTCCTGCACAAAACAAAGTTCACACTTAAGTCCTTTTGAAACTCACTTTAGATCATTGACACGAGTTTAGAGAAATGAGGTGAAAGTCAAAACCCGTGGCAAGATTTAAGATTTCTGGGCATGTAACCCTGAACTCCGCCCAGCAGATGGCACTAAACCCTTGGACCATGTGACCGCTAAGTGACTGACAAAAACTCTGCATTTATACATGAGCCTTTATGCACCTTCACATCCTGCAATCAATCAGAACTAATTAACTAGGATCTGGGATAGAATCAAAACAATCCAGCAGGTTTTGTCATTTTGACTCATTACTCAGATCAGTCACTGGTGCTTCCTAAGAAAAAGTTCTGACTCATGTTTTATTCAGGTCTCACCTTCAGCGCCGTCATTGTCATGGTGACCGTCTCCAGACTCTTCCTTTCCAGGTTTTCCGTGTCCGTTACCTGAGAGATCAGAAACAAGTAGAGTTTAGTTCAACTTTGAAGCTCTGGAGTTTCAGGAGAATCGTCTGTTCCCATTTTGCCAATTTAACAAACCAGGTCCCACACGACGTTACAAATCTGCCACTGCAATTTCAACTACAATGTTGTTTTGTCCTTGATACAGTTCAGAGAAAAAAAAAAAAATCTGTCAAGAGATGGAACTTTTAAAAAGTGACTTATTTTTTATGCATTTTGAATCACTAAACACTTTCCATGGTCAGTTATCGTTGCACTAAAGTTAATGAAATCTAAACAGATGTCTTATTGGGGACTTTTTTTGGGGGGGGGGGGGGGGGGGGTGTTACTTTGATCTGTAAAAAGGAGCAGGTTTATAAGATTTTTCTTCCTGTTCATTTTGTTCATGCAGCAAAAACTGCAAATAATGGTTGGAATATGTATTAAATTCAGATTGTTATTTAAATTTGTTCCAACAAACAGCATGAGCAATAAACATCATGCAACATTCAAGTGATGATTAGAGCATTAGGACATTGTTCTTCATACACACCCCTCTCCCTTCAGTCCTGTAGGAGGATTCAAGTCTGTCATTTATGCCTCACCTGGTTGTCCAGCACCGTGACCATGTCCAGGACCTTTGCCGTCACCGTGACCATGTCCGGGACCTCCGGGGCCTCCGCCGTCACCGTGACCATGTCCAGGACCACCGGGACCTTTGCCGTCACCGTGACCATCTCCAGGACCTCCGGGACCTCCGGGACCTTTGCCGTCACCGTGACCATCTCCAGGACCTCCGGGACCTCCGCCGTCACCGTGACCATCCGGGACCTCCGGGGACCTTCCGGACCAGGACCTCCGGGACCTCCGGGACCTCCGGCGTGACCGTGTCCGGGACCTCCGGCGTGACCGTGTCCCTCCGGGACCTCCGTGACCGTGACCGTGTCCAGGACCTCCGGCGTGACCGTGTCCCTGACCGTGTCCAGGACCGGGACCTGACCTGTCCCTCCGACCGTCACCGTGACCTCCAGGACCGTCGACCGTGACCGTGTCCAGGACCTCCGGGACCTCCGCCGTCACCGTGACCGTGTCCAGGACCTCCGGGACCTCCGCCGTCACCGTGACCGTGTCCAGGACCTCCGGGACCTCCGCCGTCACCGTGACCGTGTCCACCTCCGACCTCCGCCGACCGTGACCGTGTCCAGGACCTCCGCCGTCACCGTGACCGTGTCCAGGACCTCCGCCGTCACCGTGACCATGTCCAGGACCTCCGGGACCTTCGCCGTCACCGTGACCATGTCCAGGACCTCCGGGACCTTTCGCCGTCACCGTGACCATGTCCAGGACCTCCGGGACCTTTGCCGTCACCGTGACCATGTCCAGGACCTCCGGGACCTCCGCCGTCACCGTGTCCAGGACCTCTGGGACCTTTACTGTCACCGTGACCGTGACCATGTCCAGGACCTCCGGGACCTCCGGGACCTTTGCCGTCACCATGTCCAGGACCTCCGGGACCTCCGGGACCTTTGCCGTCACCGTGTCCAGGACCTCCGGGACCTCCGGGGCCTTTGCCGTCACCGCGGACCGTGTCCGGGACCTCCGGGCCTTTGCCGTCACCGTCACCGTGTCCGGGACCTCCGGGACCTCCGGGACCTCCGGGACCCTCCGGGACCGTCCGGGACCTCCGGGACCTCCGCCGTCACCGTGTCCAGGACCTCCAGGACCTCCGGGACCTCCGCCGTCACCGTGTCCAGGACCTCCAGGACCTCCGGGACCTCCGCCGTCACCGTGTCCAGGACCTCCAGGACCTCCGGGACCTCCGCCGTCACCGTGTCCAGGACCTCCAGGACCTCCGGGACCTCCGCCGTCACCGTGACCATGTCCAGGACCACCGGGACCTCCAGGACCTTTGCCGTCACCGTGACCATGTCCAGGACCACCGGGACCTCCGGGGCCTTTGCCCGTCACCGTGTCCAGGACCTCCGGACCTCCGGGGCCTTTGCCGTCACCGTGTGTCCAGGACCTCCGGGACCTCCGGGACCTCCGCCGTCACCGTGTCCAGGACCTCTGGGACCTTTACTGTCACCGTGACCGTGACCATGTCCAGGACCTCCGGGACCTCCGGGACCTTTGCCGTCACCATGTCCAGGACCTCCGGGACCTCCGCCGTCACCGTGTCCAGGACCTCCGGGACCTCCGGGGCCTTTGCCGTCACCGTCACCGTGTCCGGGACCTCCGGGGCCTTTGCCGTCACCGTCACCGTGTCCGGGACCTCCGGGACCTCCGCCGGACCTCCGGGACCTCCGGGACCTCCGGGACCTCCGGGACCTCCGCCGTCACCGTGTCCAGGACCTCCAGGACCTCCGGGACCTCCGCCGTCACCGTGTCCAGGACCTCCAGGACCTCCGGGACCTCCGCCGTCACCGTGTCCAGGACCTCCAGGACCTCCGGGACCTCCGCCGTCACCGTGACCATGTCCAGGACCACCGGGACCTCCAGGACCTTTGCCGTCACCGTGACCATGTCCAGGACCACCGGGACCTCCGGGGCCTTTGCCGTCACCGTGTCCAGGACCTCCGGGACCTCCGGGGCCTTTGCCGTCACCGTGTCCAGGACCTCCGGGACCTCCGCCGTCACCGTGTCCAGGACCTCCGGGACCTCCGGGACCTCCGCCGTCACCGTGACCATGTCCAGAACCTCCGGGACCTTTGCCGTCACCGTGACCATGTCCAGGACCTCCGGGGCCTTTGCCGTCACCGTGTCCAGGACCTCCGGGACCTCCGGGACCTCCGGAGCCTCCGCCGTCACCGTGTCCAGGACTTCCGGGACCTCCGGGGCCTTTGCCGTCACCGTGTCCAGGACCTCCAGGACCTCCAGGACCTTTGCCGTCACCGTGACCATGTCCAGGACCTCCGGGACCTCCGCCGTCACCGTGACCATGTCCAGGACCTCCGGGACCTCCAGGACCTTTGCCGTCACCGTGACCATGTCCAGGACCTCCGGGGCCTTTGCCGTCACCGTGTCCAGGACCTCCGGGACCTCCGAGACCTCCGGGGCCTTTGCCGTCACCGTGTCCAGGACCTCCGGGACCTCCGGGACCTTTGCCGTCACCGTGACCATGTCCAGGACCTCCGGGGCCTTTGCCGTCACCGTGTCCGGACCTCCGGGACCTCCGAGACCTCCGGGGCCTTTGCCGTCACCGTGTCCGGGACCTCCGGGACCTCCGGGACCTCCGGGGCCTTTGCCGTCACCGTGTCCGGGACCTCCGGGACCTCCGGGACCTCCGCCGTCACCGTGACCATGTCCGGGACCACCGGGACCTCCAGGACCTCCGCCGTCACCGTGACCATGTCCAGGACCTCCGCCGTCACCGTGACCATGTCCAGGACCTCCGGGACCTCCAGGACCTTTGCCGTCACCGTGACCATGTCCAGGACCTCCGGGACCTCCAGGACCTCTGCCGTCACCGTGACCATGTCCAGGACCTCCAGGACCGCCGGACTCATCTTTTCCAGGTTTTCCATGTCCCCTGTGATTTCCTTGACCTGAGTTGGAGACAGTCTGGCTCATTACCACCTCTGGGTTTGCAGGAGAGGTGGTGCTGGGATCCACAGGGGTGTGTCCATGTCCTGCAAAAACAAAGTCCACATTTAGAAAGTCCTTTTGAAACTCACTTTAGATCATTATGAAGTTTCATAACTTTAATGTTAGTCACAACTCACCTGGACGTTCAGGGTCTTCAGGGTCTTCAGGGTCTTGGTGACCATCTCCAGAAGGTTTGGCTTCATCTTTTCCAGGTGCTGAGGTTCAGACAGACTCAGTTTAAATCATTCAGACTTCTGCAGTTTGAAGGAGTTCAAAGTTTATGTCTCACCTGGACGTTGAGCTCCACCATCTCCAGGATGTTTTGGGCCTTTGTCGTCATGGTGACCATCTCCAGGAGGCTTAGAGTCATGACCTGAGATTCAGACTCATTTTAAACTCAGACTGATTCACAACTTTGAAATCAAACAAATGTCTGTGGGGTCTGTCAGGTTTAAAGCTCATCTGTCATATTTGTGTCTCACCTGGACGTCCAGCTCCTTCAGAATCTTTGTCATCATGGTCAGCACCTCCAGGAGATTTGGACTTGTCTTTTCCAGGTTTTCCATGACCTCACATTGAGAAAGTTTAAAGAGGATTTAAAAAAATAAATAAAAATACAGCAACAGTCCTTTTTCAAATGTTGTGCATGTGACACCACCTTCCTCAGTAGAAACATCTCCTGCCGCCTCTTTACTCTAGAAATCACATGTTCAGACTGACTGTTGAAGTGACCCATCTAGAAATAATTTAAATCGACCGACACATCAGTTTTTAGACCCTTTGTCTGCTTCATTCGCTGGAAGAATCTCCAAGAATCACCTCAGTTTGGCTTCGCTCCTTTTCTTTCAGCGACCTCAAAAACGACTTTTGCAGTGAACTGGTCGTGGATTCTCGTCCGCCATCAAACTTTGTGCGAATTGCGAGGAAGCTGCAGTTTGAAAAAGCCTCCAAGAACCGCTGCATAAACCACATAATCCCCGCGCGCCGACGAGTCACTTACACTAGAAACGTAGAGTTTGATTGACGACCCAACAGCCAATAGAAAATGAGGCAGTGTCATTTATTGGCTGATGTTTATCTGGCCTCAACACGTCCACAGTTGATGGACCTTCATTCTTTTTTTTGGTAATTACAAGGCTGCTGTGTGTCTCTAATGGCATTTTAAACTTTAATCACCAATTTGAAACAAAAAGTATAATAAAAATGATCCAAAGTCCATTTTAAATATAAATAAAATATATTATAAATATAAGTTCTGTTGCCATGAATTTATAAATGCAGCTGTTGACCATGTTTCACAAAACTGAAATGGTCTGATTTGTTGCATCTAGTCTCACCTGAACCTTCAGCTCCTTCAGAATCTCCAGGATGTTTGGAATAATCTTTTCCAGGTTTTCCTCCATGACCTGAGGGAGAAACAGTTTATGTTCCGTCTCTGCTTCAGTGGCTGAAGTTCAGAGTTTGAAATTTGACCTATTGTTTCTCACCTGAATGTTCAGCTCCATCATAATCTTCAGGGTCTTTGTCGTCATGGTGACCATCTCCAGGGCCTTTGGAACCTTTTCCGGGTTTGCCACTGTGACCTGAGGTTCAGACAAACACAAGATTTAGTTTCACTCGGACAAATGAAGCACTGACTAAATCTCATCCGTCACATTTGTCTCACCTGGACCTCCAGACGACTTGGGACTTCTGCGGCCTCCAGCTCGAGGTCTGGGCTCTTGGGCGGCAGGTTCTGCGGGCTCGGCGGGTCTCCTCCCGCGCTCTCGGCCGAACAGGTTCTTGAGCACCTCCGGGTTCCTCCTGTGACGCTGGAGGCCGAGGTCACTCTCCACCTCGCAGAACATCACCGCCTCCACGTCTTTCCTGAGCAGTTTGTCAAAATAGACGAGACGCACAGAACAGTCCACCTGAAACCGTCAGATGATCAGACGTCGACAGGAGAAACGACAAAGTCCAGTGACGCTACAACGGGACTCAGTTAAAGCTACAATGTGGAACTTTTCATGAGAAATAGAAAGCCAAAACCACTCCAGAACATTCTGAAAGGAAATCACTTAAGCCACTGTGGATTATTCTAACCCAAGGAACAACTTCTCCATAGAAACAAGGTCTCCAAACCAAATTAGTCATGTTTGTGGAGCGGCAAGGTTTTTCTGTGCAATAAAAGGCTCCTCCAGGTCGTTTGGATAATAAAGTGACATATTTACTCTCCCTCCTTGAACCGTCACCTTATCGTGGTGGAGGGTTTGATGCCCGAATGATCCCGGGAGCTCTGTTGTCGGGGGCTTCATGCCCCTGGTCACCCAAGGCAAACAGGTCCGGGGGGACGGGTCAGACGAAGAACGGTTCAGAAGCCCCTATGATGTGTACGAGCAAGGCCAGTTACGTCGCCCGGATCGGCGTCACCGGGGCCTCACCCTGGAGCCAGGCCTGGGGTGGGTACTCGTCAGCGAGCGCCTGGTGGCCGAGCCTCCCCCCACGGGGCTCGGCCGGGTTCAGCCCGAAGGAGCGACGTGGGGCCGTCCTCACGTGGGCCCACCACCCGCAGGAGGCTCCATATGGGGCCGGTGCAGAGAGATCTGGGCAGCAGTCGACGGTGGGGGCCTCGGCGACCGGATCTCCGGACATGGAGACTGTGGCTCTGGGGACATGGAATGTCACCTCGCTGGGGGGAAGGAGCCTGAGCTTGTGCGGGAGGTTGAGTGTTACCGACTAGATATAGTCGGCCTCACCTCCACGCACAGTTTGGGCTCTGGAACCCAACTCCTTGAGAGGGGCTGGACTCTCCATTTCTCTGGCGTTGGCCGCGGGGAGCGGCGGCGGGCTGGTGTGGGGGGGTGGGGCTGGGGTGTGGGGGGGGGGGGGCTGGTGTGGGCTCATTGCCCCACAGCTCAGTCGCTGTGTGTTGGAGTTCACCCCGGTGAACGAGAGGGTCGCGTCCCTGCGCCTTCGGGTCGGGGACAGGTCTCTCACTGTGGTGTCGGCCTACGGGCCGAACAGCAGTGCAGAGTACTCGAGTACCCGGCCTTCTTGGAGTCCTTGGGAGGGGTACTAGACAGTGCACCGACCGGGGACTCCGTTGTTCTCCTGGGGGACTTCAACGCCCACGTGGGCAACGACAGTGACACTTGGAGAGGGGTGATCACCTCTGGTCATGAGCTCTGGGTAGTGACCGAAAGGACGAGATCGCGGATACAAGCGCTCGAAATGAGTTTCCTCCGCAGGGTGGTCTGGGCGTCTCCCTTAGAGACAGGGTGAGGAGCTCAGTCACACGGGAGGAGCTCGGAGTAGAGCCGCTGCTCCTCCACGTCGAGAGGAGCCAGTTGAGGCTCGGGCATCTGTTCCGGATGCCTCCTGGGCGCCTCCCTCGGGAGGTGTTCATGTCCCACCGGGAGGAGGCCCCGGGGAAGACCCAGGACACGCTGGAGGGACTATGTCTCTCGGCTGGCCTGGGAACGCCTCGGGGTCCCCCCGGAGGAGCTGGAGGACGTGTCTGGGGTGAAGGAAGTCTGGGAGTCCCTGCTTAGGCTGCTGCCCCCGCGACCCGGCCCCAGATAAGCGGACGAAAATGGATGGATGGATATTTACTCTCGGGAATTTTGATACATGAATAAAATTTTAACCACTGAGTTGTTCTGATCATGTTCCTCTGGAGGGCAGATGTTTGAGCTGTGAGAAACTCTGCGTTCTACAGGCTCCACCATCTCAGAAAAACACTATAAAAAGTGCATCAGGTTTAAAGTTTGTCCCGAGTCAGACGGATCTGCATTTCAGAAACTAAACAAATTCACCTGAAGCGGTGCAGAACATCCAGGAGAAACCACCAGCACCGTCCAGAAGCCTCTGTAGGACACGCCACAGCCAGGAGAGCCAGGAGAGCCAGGAGAGCCAGGAGAGCCAGGAGAGCCAGGAGAGCCAGGAGAGCCAGGAGAGCCAGGAGAGCCAGGGGGAACTTCAGAACCATCTGAAAACATGAAACTAATGAGTCTCCAACACTTGGAAGAGTGAAGAAGAGTGAAGACAAATTAAACTGCAGGAAGCACAAAATCAAACCAGAGCAGATCTTCTCCTTTGGGTCACATGAGAAACTGAAAATATTAATTGTATTTCTTTAAAAAAATATAAAATCAGTAAGTGTCATAGTTGTAATAGTTTGTTCTGACTCATGAAAAAGTGAAACTACCGAACAAAGGCTTCATTTAAAAAACAAAAAAAACGTCTAAAACACAAACGCAGCTTTAGTCGTGCAGGAGGTCAAAGGATCAAATCTGTTTATTTTGTGATTCCAAATGAGTTTTAAACGAGCCCAGGTTCAGAGGTTCAGAGTTTCCCACCTGAGAGTCTGAGGCGGGAGAAGCGTCGTGGGGAGAGCCACAGTTTGATGGAGCCGTTCGAGCAGCTGCAGAGAGAATTCACGTCCAGAACCTCAGGGCGACCGGAAACTGAAACACACGAAAAATATATGTCAAAAAAAAAACAAACCCTCACAACATCTGCAGCAGAATTTTACTGGAGACACAAGAACATTCAGTCTGATGCAGCGAAAAGTGAACAGAACCTCCCCCCCCCCCGCGGCTCGTGAACAGAACCTCTTCTCACCTGAGATCAGAGTCCGGCCGGATCCCGGAGAGTCCGGGTCTTGGTCTTGGTCCTGGTCCGGAGGCCCAAACGGCGCCTCGGGTCCCGCTCCGCGCGCGCCGGGGATCAGGGTCAGACCCAGAAAAACCCAAATCCCGAACCAAAGCTGAGGCCAAACCGGGCCGTGCCGAACCGGAGGTACCGGGCCCACGCGAGCGCTCCACCTGGCCGCGCGCATGCTGCCACCGAACCAGAACCAATCACAGGCCGAGACCGCGGCGCGAGGCTTAAATACGGCGGCTCATCAAAGACAGGTGCGCACGTCACGTGACCGGCGGAACGAGGCACGAGGACGCACCTGCGCAGCGCGAGACATACTCAGAGGCACGTGCGCGCGCAGAGGCGGGACTCAAGGAAAAGACTCAGAGTAACGCACCTGTACTCAGAGTAACGCACCTGTACTCAGAGTAACGCACTGTACTCAGAGTAACGCACTGTACTCAGAGTAACGTATTTGTACTCAGAGTAAGTGAAAGTATTTGTGGGCGGGGCATCTGGTTTATAATTTTGATGAATTTGACAAAAGGTGAAAAAAAATCCTAAATTGTGGATTTTTCAAAGAGACAAAAAAGATCCAGAGTGAATCAGAGCAGAAAGAAAAACACTTTGTCTCTTTAGTTCTGGAGTTTCCTCTTTTTTTCTTCTTCTTCTTCTTTTTTTGTAAAATAAAAAGTGGTCAGCGCTGATGATGACGTCATCACTCGTCATAAATGCGGTAAATATCAAAGTGTCAGAAGAAGAAGAAGAAGAAGAAGAAGAAGAAGAAGAAGAATGACATGAAACTTTTAAAACAAATAAAACAAATAAAACTTAAATCTTCTTCAGACGCAGAAACGACTTTAACCAAACGAGTGAATTTAGTTTTAATTTGAGTTTTTCAGAACATTTTGTGTTTTATTCATAAATCTGTTTATGAACGTCAGACTGGACACAGGGAACAGGAAGTACTGTAGTAAAAGTACTGTTACTGCAGTAAAAGTACTGTTACTGTAGTAAAAGTACTGTTACTGCAGTAAAAGTACTGTTACTGCAGTAAAAGTACTGTTACTGCAGTAAAAGTACTGTTAATGTAGTAAAAGTACTGTTACTGTAGTAAAAGTACTGTTACTGCAGTAAAAGTACTGTTAATGTAGTAAAAGTACTGTTACTGCAGTAAAAGTACTGTTAATGTAGTAAAAGTACTGTGTAGTATAGAGTACTGCAGTAAAAGTACTGTGTAGTATAGAGTACTGCAGTAAAAGTACTGTGTAGTATAGAGTACTGCAGTAAAAGTACTGTGTAGTATAGAGTACTGCAGTAAAAGTACTGTGTAGTATAGAGTACTGCAGTAAAAGTACTGTGTAGTATAGAGTACTGCAGTAAAAGTACTGTGTAGTATAGAGTACTGCAGTAAAAGTACTGTGTAGTATAGAGTACTGTAGTAAAAGTACTGTGTAGTATAGAGTACTGTAGTAAAAGTACTGTGTAGTATAGAGTACTGTAGTAAAAGTACTGTGTAGTATAGAGTACTGTAGTAAAAGTACTGTGTAGTATAGAGTACTAGTAGTAGTAAAAGTACTGTAGTATAGTATAGAGTACTGCAGTAAAAGTACTGTGTAGTATAGAGTACTGCAGTAAAAGTACTGTGTAGTATAGAGTACTGCAGTAAAAGTACTGTGTAGTATAGAGTACTGCAGTAGTAAAAGTACTGTGTAGTATAGAGTACTGTAGTAAAAGTACTGTGTAGTATAGAGTACTGTAGTAAAAGTACTGTGTAGTATAGAGTACTGCAGTAAAAGTACTGTGTAGTATAGAGTACTGCAGTAAAAGTACTGTGTAGTATAGAGTACTGCAGTAAAAGTACTTCTCAGGTGGTTCTTGTTTGTTGTTCAGATGTTGATGTTTGTTTTGTCCACGAGGGGCAGTGTGGAGCCACGTCTGTATCAACACACAGGTGCGACAGGTGTGACAGGTGCGACACGTGTGACACGTGTGACAGGTGCGACAGGTGTGACAGGTGTGACAGGTGTGACAGGTGTGACAGGTGTGACACGTGTGACACGTGTGACAGGTGCGACACGTGTGACAGGTGTGACAGGTGTGACAGGCGCGACAGGTGTGACTGGTGTGACAGGTGTGACAGGTGTGACAGGCGCGACAGGTGTGACTGGTGTGACACGTGTGACAGGTGTGACAGGTGCGACAGGAGGTTTGTCCCTGTCAGGTGCGGTGTGTGTAACGGAGCAGGTCCTGTCGCCTCCTGTCATTCACCTGTCAATCAAAATGCGACATGCACCTGTCGACGCTCCAGGTGTTTGCTCCGCCCCCCCCCATCTGTGATTGGTCCAAACGATGTGATGTCGTCTGAACAGTGTGTGTTGTGTGTTTTGTGTGAGTTTTATGTGTTTGTGTTTTGTGTTGTGCGTTTGGGTGTATTGTGTGTATTGTATGTATGTGTTGTGTGTTTGTGTTGTGTGTGTTTATGTGTTGTGCGTTTGTGTGTGTATTGTGTGTGTGTTGTGCGTTTGTGTGTATATTGTGTGTGTATTGTGCGTTTGTGTGTATTGTATGTGTGTGTTTGTGTTGTGTTTATGTGTTGTGCATTTGTGTATATTGTGTTTGTGTATTGTATGTATGTGTTGTGTTTGTGCGTTTGTGTGTGTTTATGTGTTGTGTGTGTGTTGTGTGTGTATTGTATGTATGTGTTGTGCGTTTGTGTGTGTGTTGTGTGTATTGTGTGTTGTGCGTTTGTGTGTGTATTGTGTGTGTGTGTTTATGTGTTGTGTGTGTGTGTATTGTATGTATGTGTTGTGCGTTTGTGTGTGTGTTGTGTGTGTATTGTATGTGTGCGTTTATGTGTTGTGTGTGTGTTGTGCGTTTGTGTGTTTATGTGTTGTGTTTATGTGTTGTGTGTGTTGTGTATTGTATGTGTTGCGTTTGTGTGTGTATTGTGTGTGTGCGTTTGTGTTGTGTGTGTTTGTGTTGTGCGTTTGTGTGTGTTGTGCGTTTGTGTGTGTTTATGTGTTGTGTATTGTGTGTGTGCGTTTGTGTTGTGTGTTTGTGTTGTGTGTGTTGTGTATTGTGCGTTTGTGTGTTGTGTGTGTGTATTGTATGTGTTGTGCGTTTGTGTGTGTTTATGTGTTGTGTGTGTTTGTGTTGTGTTTGTGCGTTTGTGTGTATTGTGTGTATGTGTTTGTGTTGTATGTTGTGTATTGTATGTATGTGTTGTGTTGTGCGTTTGTGTGTATTGTGTGTGTTGTGCGTTTGTGTGTATTGTGTGTGTGCGTTTGTGTTGTGTGTGTTTGTGTTGTGTATTGTGCGTTTGTGTATTGTATGTGTTGTGCGTTTGTGTGTGTTTATGTGTTGTTTGTGCGTTTGTGTGTGTTGTACGTTTGTGTGTGTATTGTGTGTATGTGTTGTATGTTGTGTATTGTATGTGTGTTGTGCGTTTGTGTGTGTGTTGTGTGTTTGTGTGTGTTGTGCGTTTGTGTGTGTATTGTGTGTGTTGTGCGTTTGTGTGTGTTTGTGTTGTGTATTGTGCGTTTGTGTATTGTATGTGTTGTGCGTTTGTGTGTGCGTTTATGTGTTGTGTGTTTGTGTTGTGTTTGTGCGTTTGTGTGTGTTGTGCGTTTGTGTGTGTATGTGTTGTATGTTGTGTATTGTATGTTTGTGTGTGTTGTGCGTTTGTGTGTGTATTGTGTGTATGTGTTGTATGTTGTGTATTGTATGTATGTGTGTGTTGTGTGTATTGTGTGTGTTGTGCGTTTGTGTGTGTATTGTGTGTATGTGTTTATGTGTTGTGTATTGTATGTATGTGTGTGTTGTGTGTTTGTGTGTGTATTGTGCGTTTGTGTGTGTATTGTGTGTATGTGTTTATGTGTTGTATGTTGTGTATTGTATGTGTGTGTTGTGTGTATTGTGTGTGTTGTGCGTTTGTGTGTTGTGTGTGTTTGTGTTGGACTCAGGCAGTGAGACGTTTGAAAAATAGGAAACATTTATTTCACATTTTAAACAAAAATATAGAAACATTTGAAACACGAGAAACTTTAAATTAAACAAAAACTAAAACTAAACAAACAGGAAACAGGAAACAGAGCGGCTCACGGCAAAGCATCATGGGAAATGTAGGAACCACTCAACTGACCGGGACGCGGAAAAAACAGACCAGAACCGGACCAGGATCAGGACCAGAGACCAGGAACAAAGACATAGACCAGGACCAGGACCAGAGACCAGGAACAAAGACATAGACCAGGACCAGGACCAGAGACCAGGGCCAAAGACCAGGACCAGAGACCAGGAACAAAGACCAGGAACAAAGACCAGGACCAGGACCACCAGAGACCAGGGCCAGAGACCAGGACCAAAGACCAGGAACAAAGACCAGGAACAAAGACCAGGACCAGAGACCAGAGACCAGGGCCAAGACCAAGATCAAGATCAGGACCAGGGACCAGAGACCAGAGACCAAGACCAGGATCAGGACCAGGACCAGGACCAGGATCGGGACCAGGATCGGAATCAAGATCAGGAGCAGAGACCAGAACCAGGGACCAGGAACCAGAGACCAGGACCAAGATCAGGATCAGTGTGTCTCCTTCACACACTTTTGCTCTTGTGCGTCGTCTTTAAATGTTCATTTTTATTACCAAAAAAATAAAATAAAATCTGTTTTTTCAG